CGTCCGGACTTCTCTATTATCAAGACTAGCTGGTCGGCCTCTCTTTTTATCTCCGTCCTTGTCGTGCGCTCGCTCGAGGGACGCTCTCATTCGGAAGAGTGACGAAACAGTTTTGCGAGCAGCGCGTGATCCGCGCGGGAGCGAATTTGTCGTCCGAGACGATCTCTCTCATTTCCGGGAGGACTTTTTTTTACCCGCGTTACGCGCACTCACAGACGCCGCGCTATCGGGGCACATTATTCGAAAGGCACTACGAGCACCACGTTCGTTCTCGTCGGAAAATTCTCGAACAGAACACGGCCAGCCGTGCGCGATTGCGATGCATGACGTGCGTGGAGCACGGCTGTTCCATATAAATCGCATTCGAATCACTCCGCGGCTTGGAATCTCGAGAGCGCGCCGTGCTCGAAACATTCCGCATTTGATAAATCCTCCGCCGCCGCCGCCGATGACGACGTCCGGCGTACTCTGCACTTGAGATCATTCCCGCATTAACGAGCGAACCGAAGTGTCATCCTGATACTTCGGCGCGGTTTTCGTGATATATGATGGTGATTGCGCGGTGCTGAGGAATGACGCGCGCTGAAACACCAACGAAGTTTCGTTAACGACGCGCCACGTATACGCCGCGGCATCCGACGCGCAAAGAGCGCCAAGTCATTCGAACAATCTCCCCCCCCCCCTGTTACTGTTATCCTTTACGTTCCTCGTGGCCCGTGGCCCTTGCGCGCAGGGGACGCGTTCTCGGAGGAGACGTGATTTCTCGTCTTGCTGCATTTTACGACTCGCGCAACGGAAATTGAGAGAGAGAGAGAGAGAGAGAGAGAGAGAGAGAGAGAGAGCGCGCGCGCTTATAAACGCGTCGCGCACGACGCAAATATACATACACGACACGTCGCATCATTTTCCATTATCCGACCGCGAATTTCGACGAGCTCGGGTCCGTTCGAAAACGCGCGCATGCACGACGGCGTGTGCGTGACGGGGGGGGGGGGAGACAGAGAAACGACGCGCATTCGTCGCACTGTCGGGGAATTATCGTAATAAAGGCGAAACGATGAGAATAAAATCGCCATGGAAATTCTGCGCGACGGTTGCGCGACGGAGCGCAAATAGAGGCGGAGGAGCGGAGGAGAGAAAAGAAAAGAAAAGAAAAGAAAAGAGAGATATAGCTGTGAGCTTTTTTTATATTTACTCGAGGCATTACATCATCTATATATGTATATATATCGCACACGCAAACCCGGCGCGCTGTGCTGCTGTTCATACGTGCGCCGCGCATGCCGTATACTATGCAAGCGAGTCACGCAACGGTCGGCCGCGCCTGTAACGAAGTAAAGAAAGGGAACGTTTAATTAAAAAATTCCTCCAGCAAATTGATTCGTTTCGGTATCCTCGGTAGTTAGGCGGGGCCAGTCGATACGCCGTTGCCGCCGTAACCGCGATCGGATAGTTATAAGGAGTTTTTGCTATCATATCGTTAAATTAATGGCGCGCGACTCGGAAACCGCGGCTCAAAGTGCGACGGGACTCCCCCGGATACATTCCGCGATTTCAGTCCCTTTTTGTCCCGTATAAATCGTGCTTATAATCCAGGAGCGCGCGACGGGTATGTCGATATGTGTCGGGGAACACGTTCTACGACGTACGAAACAAGCGAGAACGGATGGGAAAAAAGAAGAGAGAGAGAGAGAGAGAGAGAGGGAGAGAGAGAGAGAAGAGGGGAGAGACAAGGAGAGAAAAAGACAGATCCTTGATCTCCGATTGCTCTTTCCGTCGCGTTCGTGTGACTACAATGCCTGGGAAATCCGTCTGGCGGAACGCGGCACGCGGAAGCAAGAAACGCTTCCGAGAGAGCGGAAAAATAGCAAAGCGGCGTCGCGTCAGCGAACACATGTAAAGAACAAGTAATAACTCGTTATAACTAATAGTACGTCTACGCGAGAGTCGTATGTACGTTACGGCTCGCGATTGGCTAAGTGGGACTGTGGGAGTGCTTCGGTCGCGCTGTGTACGTACACACACACACACACACACACAGTTACATATGTACATAAACACAAAGCATACTTTAGTTTTGACGCGGCTCGCGTGCGCGCGCGCGTTCACGACGGGGCTTGAGATAAATGAAATTCATAAGACGGGATATCCTTGAGAGACGGGACTTTCCCGCCCGGGTGGGCGATAGTTTCGCGCAAGGCGAAGTGAGAGAGGAGAACGGCGGGGTTAGTGTGGGGGTCAGGGGGGCTCGTGCAACAAGTGACGTTATTAGGTTGGCGCCGGAGGGTTGGCAAGGGAGGGAACGGCGAATCATAATGCATAACTCTTGCCCGTCCTTGTCTTACTGCTCGCGCGCGGCCATTCAACTTCTGCGGAATTGCTCTGTGCCAGCTTAACGCGAGGAGCGCTGCCCCTTGAACGCGGGAAATTAGCGGATGCCCGCTGAACTTTTGGCGCCGGAGCTTTTTCATAAAAGCGCCTCGGTCTCTCGGTGACGAGAGAGAGAGAGAGAGAGAGAGAGAGAGACTCGGCAGCGGGCTTTCGCGTCGATATCGCGATCGGTGTGCCTCGAGCTGCCTGCGAAAGCCCGACGGACGGATTCGCGACGGGACGGGGTGTAATTCGAGACATTTATCGTTACTTTAGACTCATGATGCACTCGATGACATCGGGAGTATTGAAAGCTTTTGATAAATCGTACGAATCGCGATGGGAGTTCTTCGAGAGAGAATCGAGTCCGAGAGGAACGAGTCCCACGGTTTTGCAGGAATTGAATCCGGAAGACAAATGATCGATTCCTCAGCCGAGTTTTCGATAAGCGGAATAACCCGCAATCCACCCGTTCCACGCATTCCGTACCGTTTATCTTAATATCTCCGATTATGATATCGACGCTCAACCTCAAAAGCTCGTTTGCGCGGTGCCAAGTTACGCCGAGAGCTCATTCGTCCTTGTCGCCCGATATGGTAATCGGCCGGTCTGCGAAGACGTGCCCCGTCCTAGAAAACTAAATTCCCATTCCGCTCCCACGATGGTGGTCGCGGACCGCGAAAAGAGACCGTCACCGTCACCGCCGCCGCCGCCGCCGCCGCCGCCGCCGCCGCCGCCGCCGTTGGCAACGGCCGGGGAAGACAAAGAGGCTTTATTATGCGAGAAGAGCGATGGAAATTGAGAACGGCGAGAGCGGAGATTGGCAAGGACGCCGGGTGTTCCCGCTGGCGTCGAACGGCAAAGACGACTACCTTATATCCGCAGAACTCGGATTATTACCGCTCAAAACGGTTACTCCGCGTCCCTCTCTCTCTCTCTCTCTCTCTCTGCTTTTTTACATAATAGCTTGATAACTTATTTATCAGTTAATCATGGCTTACTCTTAGATTCGTCATTCGATGTGTCGAGTTTTGTACAGCCGTGTTCGCTAACATGCGTTTACTTTGACTGCAGTTTAACTTGTTCCACTCATCTCTCTAGATTCGACAGATAGAGAGAGGGAGAGAGAGGGAGAGAGAGGGAGAGAGAGAGAGAGAGAGAGAAGGAGGGGTAAAGAATCGATTAAACTGTGGCTAAAGTTAATATTTGTTATTTAACAACTCGTCTTCCCCTGTCTCTCTCTCTCTCTCTCTCTCTCTCTTTCTCTCTTTCTCTCACCACTTTCCTTACGCTTTCCCGTGTGACTCTCCCGAGTATCCGCGGCGATCGAATGATCCGCACGAGCCGTCTGGAGAGACAACCGTGATAAAAAGTAGATATAAAAGTCATCATCCGCCGACACACCTAATGCTAAGCATCGTAAAACCTCTATCTCGCCGGGACGCGCGAATAAAAGGAGCTCTTAGAGCCGGAAGAGTAATCTTAAGGATGTTGTGTCGGCTTAGATACCGTATGATTGAAAAATATCCTACACGTGTAACACTGCGGCGAACGGGCGCAGCGGCGAGGATGGAGTGTAAAAAGAAGCGGGTGGCAAAAAGAAGGGAGTAGAGAGAGAGAGAGAGAGAGAGAGAGAGAGAGAGAGAGAGAGAGAGAGAGAGAGAGAAAAAGCAGGAGAAAGCGACGGGCGACAGGACCACCAGCACCGCCATGCCGTCAAGCCAGTCGTCCTTTTTCCGCCTCGCGGCCCCCTCTGTCTCTCGGCACTTGATTTCCGTCTTTCCCATTTTCCTCTTTCGCTCTCCGTATCTCCAGCCCTCCTCTCTCTCTCTCTCTCTCGCCCTTCCGACCCCCCGCCTACCCCGGCTGCCATTTTTGTTTGTATTTCGCGGTGATCGTGGACCGGAAACGGACGTCCGCGCCGTGAAAAATGGCCGCCGTTGCGCTTCCGGCACGGGAACGAGCCCCTCCCACCCTTCCCCTCGTCCACCGCGCAGTCCCCTGGCCTGAATCCTAACCGACGCCCTCGTCCCAGGCCTCGTCGACGTAACGCGCTTTATCCGACCGACCCTCGCGGCGCTCTTCCACCTTTCTGCTCTTTTACCGCTGTCCTGTCCGACTTTGGCCATCGACCTGCGCGGCCAAACCGTGTCCATTTTTGACGCAACGCGCGCTACATGTGTTTCGGACGTCGCGCGCAAACTAAGCGTTTTATCACAGTTCCGTGAGCTGTCCGCTCTCGCGTGATTATAGTAATTGTCTGCTGACACTTTCGCGAGCCGCGCTCGCGTTACCGTGCCGCTGACAGCGGAGTACCAGCGATATATCATCCCGTCGTCGTCGTCGTGACGCGAACGCTCGAAATGAAGAATTCGTATCCCCGGACCGATGCAGCACGCGACGAGTTTTCTAATTATAGCAGCGCTTCTCTCGACGCTCTTCGAACGACGATCGATCGACAATGAGCCGAAGCTCTGCCCGCTCGAACGCGTGCGGACTGGAGCGTCTCTGCTCGAGACGCTTATTCGCTTCCCCCCTCCCCCCCGCCCCCCGCTATCGGGCTAGCTATTGATGTCTGATTGATAATCAAGAATGTCTATAGTCACTCATGCGCGTCGACTTTGTTTCAGGAGAGTCTCAAGAATGTGTTGAGAGCTGACTCCGCCTGGACTGGTACTAGGGTTTCGGGAATGGATTCGACGTTGTTGCTCTTCCTACTGACCGGTAAGTTCAACGTTCCCGAGAAAAATCCGAGAGGAAGGCCGCGCCGACGTCACTAGTTGCGCGGTAAGTCGCGCTCGTTAGCGTAGAATCCAGCAGTTTTAGACGAACTTTCACGCGGAAGCTAGCATCGGAGGGAAAATTGAGAGGGAGAGAGAGAGAGAGAGAGAGGGAGAGCGAAACTTGGGTAGCCAAGCCACACTCGTATTATAAAGTCTGGTCCAGCGACACTCCTCCTTTTTACGACAATGAGCCGTCTCTCCGCAAGTTCGAAGGGATATACTCGGCAGATTAAAACGATCCTCGAACTGGCAGAGCTACCGCACGGTTTTGCTAGATACTTCTCTTCGTCTTATTTCACTCAACAAGATTGCTCGGTGTATACTCGCGCGTTTCACGAGAAAGCAGAAGAGAATTGTCCAATAGGAGCGGCATATCGATGTTTACGAAAGCACACGGAGACAAAAGTTTCTTTGCTCGATCATCGTCTCTCGTACACGCGGGGCCACCAAGCCACTCTCTTTCTCCTCCCAATAATGCGAAGCAAGCGAGCGAGCGTATAAGCAGAAATCAGAAATGGTAGAGACTCGCGATCTCTCCCGGGTGCGAAAAAATCTTTTCGACAGATACAATTTCAATATCCAGCGCGGGCTCGACGTCTTCGCAGGAGAATCGACGACGGTTCGACGACGACATCGAGTCCCCGAACGCGTCTCTCCCGGGCCCATCGATCTTCCACTTCCTACCCGGAGATGTTCTCGCACGACTCTCCGTGAACATCGGTTTATAAAGAGCGCGGGAGTGAAATTTACCATTCGCCATCGGAGCGAAAACTTTCGGGGAAAGTGACTTCGATTTGACGCTCCGTGAACTCGCAGAATAACCCGGCAGGCCGCGATCTCTCGCGCCCTCGTCGCGTCGGCCGTGGCGCAAAAAAGAAGAAAAAAAGGAAAGAAAGAAAAGCGAAAAAGCCGCGCGACGACCATCCCTCTGTACGCGCGCGGTGCGCGCACCACGGTCCGTCCACGGTCGATGACCACGTGTAAGGTAGGAGCGAGGACGAATGCGAGAGAGCAGGAGCGGAAAAACGGAGAGGAGGGAAAAAGAAAGGAATACGTTTGGTTTGGCAGTGGGCGGTGGGCGTCGAACTCGGGACATCGCGCGCGCGGATGACGAGTAATCGATCACGAGCACTCTGCCAACACTACGTGGCGAAGAGCACGGTGGTTCTCATTCGGCGCGCAAAAGTGGAGAAACCTCAATGCGGTGCTACCGCGATCCACCATTTACGAGAGATTAAGGAGAGAGTGCGTGCTCGCTCACCGCGGGAAAAACGGCCAGGCGTGACGGAGCGCGACGCGGACACGCGCGCAATTAGCGATCCTCCGACGACGGCGACCGGCGACGGCGACGGCGACGACGCCGAGGTGGAACACGCGGCGTGTGGAAGGAATCTTTTAGCATCTTTTAGGAATCGCTTCGCTTCTCGAGCAGATTCCGCCTCCGCCGGCGCTACACGCGCGCGCACCCGACACGTCGCGTCGAGAATTAGTTTCAGCGAAATCCGATATCGCTCTCGCAGCATCGCCGCGGAATTCGCGGGGAAGAAGAGTGCGCGTCGAGCGCGAGAGGCTGTCGCGCGCAAATCCCCGAGCATAGCTGAGAGCCATGCGCCGGAGATATTTGCGGACGAGTTCGTAATGCTTTCGCGAAAAATACAGAAACCCCCGGCTGGCAACTCACTCTCCACCTCCTCTCCTCCCTCCAGCCCCCTGCCACCCCCCGCCCCTCCCCGGTTACCCCGGCCGTCCCTGTATCGATTTCTGTCCGATGGAGTATCGCGATACTCGCCCTCTCTCACCACCTCTCTCTCTCTCTCTCTCTCTCTCTCTCTCTCTTCATCCCCGATCGCCTCTCTCTTTGTGACTCGTCCCTTCCTCCCCCCTCCCTCCCGTCCCCGATCCCGGCCGTCCCACCGCTCGTCGCCTCCCCGCCTCCCCGCCACCCCCCGTCCTCCCCCCGCGCGTTCAATCCCTCTTTCGCTTCCTCCGCTTCGTCCGCGTGTCCCTGTATCACGATTTTCAATAGCGCGCGCGCACACGTGAAGCGAAGGTGGACATCCGGGCGAGGGTGGATCATTACTTCGACGGCGATTTTCCTGGTCGTCGATACCTTCTTGCGACGTTGGCCCTTCTAGTTCGCGCGCGTGCACGATACTCGTGCGAAATTCGAGCGACGAAGAAGCGCGGCGCGAGGGACGTTCCCTGCGCGAACGGCTTTCATTCGGCCAGCGCGCGACAACACGGCCAAGTTAGAATTGACACGCAAGGGGATTCGATATTCCGGCAGATATTTCGGGAACGCGGGCCGACAGCCGCGCGCCGGGCCTCTCCGCCGCGGCCGGGACGGCCGCGTATGCGGAGTTTAATTCCGCGTGATCGTTCCGCCGGATAACGGAAGCGGCTCCCAATGAAATGATAATGCGCGCAATGGGCGCAGCACGACCAAAGTCTAGATCAACGTAAAAGCGCGCGCGCGCGCACGCCGCTCATTTATCACTGCATCCGGAATGTAGCGCGAATCGTTCGCCAGTTGGATGGAATTATTTATCTGAAAATGAAGGCTGCGCTCGGTGAGCCGGGCGAAATGGATAGGCAGGGTGACATGGATGTTCTGATTTTTGTTTTATCGCTGAAAGATACAACGTTCGCGCGCTATAGCGTTTGCGGACCAACATGTTTGCTCGACGGGTCATCGACGATCGGTGACCGGTATTTCACCGTAATGGATGAAATAAATGGTGATGAATAACAAGCACGGTGTTCGGCTCCGGATTGACGTGCAAAAAGTGTAATATATATTTTTTTAAATAAAAAAAAGAAAAAGAAAAAAAAGATACGGATAGAAAAGCGACAAGCCGTTATTGACGACGAAGGACGTCAACATCGCTGCTGCGTCCGATGAAAAAACTGGGGTTAAAGTTGAATCGAACGTAACGTCGTAATCGGCGAGCGACTTTACGTGCGCGATTGAACAAGGAAGAGGAACAAGAGGCGAGTGCGCGCGGTATTCCTTTGAGAAGTCCGGTAATAGCCATCCGATATTACGTGTTGCGTCTCAGCAACATTCCAAGATTAAGTGGCGTGGTTTTGATCGCGTGATAGTTATAATCTGTATCGCGTATCTCTGCAAACGCGGATCGTGCACCCTCTACGCGCGGTATATATGTGAAACGGTAACTCCGCTGCCGAGTTCATTCTATCGGCGCGCTCGACGCAACCATTCCAATAAATAGTACTGATAAAGAGCTCCGCGCCGCGCCGCGGAGCTACACTACACTGTATATGTAAGCGTTTGTACTTTTACGGCTATTATTTTCTGACATCGTTCTCTCCTCCTTCTCATAGCCCCCTCCTTCGCTTCGCAGCGGATCGCTACGCGCTATACGTGTGTGCGAGCGGGCGGTTCGTTACAAAGCGCCGAGGCTTAAATGCATCACAAATGCGGAAACCCGATGAAAGACACCGCGGAGATTAGCGCCGCGCGCGCGTGAATATTATATTAAACTCGTCATACGAGGGATCCGTTCCCTCCCCCCTCCCCCTCCCTTGTCCGGCGCGCGTCGCTCAAGTTTTTGATATTATTTATACAGCACGGCTGTATAACATGTCACCGGACCGAAAAAAACTCGTATCTCGGTGCGGCCATGCGCCGCGCCGCGCCGTACGTTCCTCCACGCATCCGCAAAAAAAAAAAAAAGAAAAAATGAGCTGGCAAGAGAGATAGAGAGAAAGGGAGGGAGGGGAAGTAGGCATGAAAAAAAGAAAAAAAAACAGCACGCCCAATGGTTTCGGCGCACCTAGTTACGTCGTAAAAGCGAATGGAGCGCGTTGCATTTTGACCATTCGATTTCGACAAAATCGATTTTGCAGCAGCAACAGCCGCGCCATCGGCCATCACACCACACTACACCACACCACACCACACTGCAGCAGTGACGTCGGAATTTTAGCGAGCCGCGGGACCGCACAGGGCGCGTTGCCAGGGACGCTAAAATATGTGCTTAATATTTACTCCAGACCGCAGGGCGAAACGTATGGCTGTCAGGCGAAACAGATTTCATTATTAAGAACACTGACGATCGAACGGCGCTCAGGGTGGAAATGTTGGCAGCGGGTCGTCCAAGTGGTGGCCGAGGGCGCAGAGACAGCGGCCGCTAAATTCGCTTTCCCTATCGCGCGCGATTCGCCGGAGCAATTTGGTCTTTTGTGAGGAAGAGGACAGAGAGAAAGGATTCTCGCGATCGCTTCTTCCCTAATATCTCGGAGGGGGAGGGGGAAGAGCGAGAGCGAGAGCGAGAGCGAGAGAGACGTGTAACAAAAGCAATATATTTCCCAAGTAAAATGGAATGATCCGGTGATATATTTCCCGGCCGGTCATTCACTGACGCGGCTATTCTACAGCCGGTCATTCGATTTGTACGGACCGGAAAGCGAATCGATGCGGGGTATGATGCTATCAATATGAGATCACCGTCCGATAGGATATGAGAAGCGAATGGCGGATTTGACGAGAACAATGGAAATGAAATTTGAACATGTGTAAATATTACCACGGCAGTGCCAATACGTATTTTCGATTATTCAATTCGTAGAATGCGCCGCTACTTGAACGCGGAGGATCGGTATACACACGAGAAGAATTCGAATTATACGGACGGCCGCGCCGCGCGTAAAACGAGCGCGTTGTTTGAAGAGTATAGATCGCGACGATGATATTAATATTAACAAAAGTCACGGTAGATAGAACGGTGAAATTCGGATCGCTTTCGGGGCCGTAGCTTGGGGCATTTATTTGGCGAGTTATCGATCGAATTCGAATATATTTGCACGTAACTTGTAACAAATTGCTTCAAAATTATCCGGAAGCTACTACTGTTATGTAATTTTTTCGTTATCACCCGGCCCTGCGATATTTGAGCGCGCGCGCGCGCGCGAGAGAGA